TGATTATCTATAAACGGTCAATTTCGAACGTCTTTTTTGTATAAAGCAGAGGTGATTTTTGGGTTGGGTTTTTTTTTTAAAACCGGTAAAAAACCGGGAATTGAAAAATTGGATTTGAATGGACACCCTGTACTAAGTACCAGCATTAAACAAAAAAATGTTCAATATCTCTAAAATGTATACCAAAATCTTACAACTTTTTTGAAGATCGAGATTTTTCGAGAAAATTTTCCTCGTTCCAGAATAATGCTAATTATTGATACGATCCAGAACACTGTCTCTTGCAGAGATATGAAAATTTGTCTATGTTTGAAGTTTTACAGAAGTTTCTATATTCGAGATCTTTAAAATTGCTTATCTTAAAATTGACGAATTTGTCCAAGACGTTGAACATTTTTCTCTGCGCCTCAATATTTTTCTATTCCTAGATTTCGTAATAAATGTCTATGTTCAATCGTTTACATCCCGAAATTCAACCAATTCGCAATCTGAATCTAAATTCAACTTATTCAACCGTTGGTTTCCAAAAAATCGTGGCCGAAAAATGAGGAATTGGAGGTTACAAGTTAACCTATTGATTATCCAATTAATACTGATTTTACGAAAACAAATTTATAAGATCCTTCGACCATTTGTTTTATTAAAAAAAAAGCTTGTAACATACTCATGGTGGTTTGGGAATTTATAATATTTGTCAAAGCGGATCGCATTCAACGATAATTAACATCTTTCCGATCAATAAATGTCACTATTGGTCACTTTTTTATTGTTTTAAAAACACTATTTGCTAACTTTTTTCGTTATTGTAGTCAATACTATTGTATAAAATACCCATTACCAGCCCTGCATATTGTAGGGGAATTCTGCTGACAAAATTTTATCATTAGCTCTAAAGTGTTATTTTTGAACGCCTTTTTTTGTTAAAGGCAGAGTTTTTTTTAATAACCGGGAAAAAACCGGGAATTGAAAAATGGAATTTTAATGGACACCCTATTAATCATTTACTGAAAACACTTATACGGACACAGTGAAAAAAACTTAACAACCCCCTACTCCCCACAGCTTTCTAGATTCATATTGAGGTCCCCAACAACTGTGCCAAATTTGATCGAATTTGTTTACGATCTGGATTTGCGGGAGAGCTTTATAAATTGTATGGGTAACGGCCGAGAACAGTTCAATTGTTTATCAAAAATTAAAAAATCGCTCAATTTTTACCAAACCTGGAACTTAGATAGAGAAAACAATACAGTACAAACTTTGTTGAATACCGCAAATCGATTCGACTTGTGCAAAAAGTTATTGTTTGTTATTTATGTTCATGTATTCCGTGCATACCTACTATAAGCTACAAGTAGGTATACGCAGAGCATCAGGGCGATAGTAAAAAAATAGCTTTTTGCTCAGAAGTCGAATGGATCTGCGGTATTCAACGAATTTTGTATAATTTTCTTATTCATAATCTCAGATTTGGTGAAAATTGAGTCGTTTCTCATACATCTTCCTATGTACATTTTAAAGTTTTTCCGCCAATCCAGACCGAATTAATTACCCGAATTCATTCAAATTTGGCACAGTTGCTGGGGATCCTAATACGAATCGATAGAGCTGTGTCAGGGAGTGTGATCCACCATACAAAGTTGACACACCCTAACATATACATCGAGAAAATTATTTTTTAGAGAATTAGATTAAAAACAAAAATTCATACTGCAATAGTTTCTAAAATTCTGAATGCGATTTCTAGAAAATACATCAAAAGTTCTGACTAGTGCCATAGTGAGGTGATAGCGAAAGTGGCCTCCGCCAAGAGTGAATTTAAAGAGTTTCTACACAGAAAAAGTTCTGAATTTAACTGTCGCGTAAAATCTCCTCTCGTTTAATTTTGAGATATAGTTCGTATAAGCAACGAAATTATGTACAAGCTAGCACACAACATTGCTCATTTATGCCACATTTCGCTTACGGCAAATCTAGTGTTAATAACGTGTGCGCTATATATCGAAGGAATTTAGATGAATTTTTTATACTACGATCCATAAATGATATAAATTAACTAATTGTAGACCCCTTACACATAGCCGGTCACAACTTCTGGTTGTGGCAGGTCGTTCATGCATCTTCCCTAAGCTACTTTTTTTAATCGAAATTCATTCTATTGACATTATACCAATTAAGAAAGGATCGGAATTTATATATTATGTTTTGGTAGGAAACCCCAAAAATTTTACTCAGAATTTTCCAGATTAAAAAAATAACAATATTCTAAAACTTGTTAATTCAACAGGATTCCAGTACATTAAAGAGTTGTCAAGAGAATTCTGAGGAGTATTTCAAGGGAGTTCTGACCACAATTCAAAGGTTATTGTTTGAAGGATCCCGAGAGAATTGTGAGAAGAACTTGTGGTGATTTCTGAGTAGAATTTCAAGATAATTCTTAAACTTATTTCAGAGGAATTGGGAGAAAATTTTAGAATGATTCTAATGGCAATTCCAAGAAAACTGTCTTTGTGGGAAATGTTGAGGATAATTCTAAAATAATTCATAGTGATGTCTGAAGATAGTTTCAAAAAATTTTGAAGAGAATACCAAAATAATGGAGCTCTGAGGATATACTTCTAAGATGATCTCAAGGAATTTCTAAGAGCACTCCACTAGAATTCAATGGAACTTTGCATAAATAGATAACGTATTCATACGTGACGGAATCCATTTTTGAAGTGACGGATGAAACGTAAACAGCTTAAGTTAAGTTTTCTTTATAAGGATGGCTTTCAGCCTGAGGCTGGTTCGTCTCCGACAGAAACGTAAACAAACATGTCACGTACAATTATGTACTCCGAGACCTATCAATATGTAACACGGAGGGAAAATATGTATGATTGATTTGAAGTTCACAACTTTTATGCATGAATTTTATGTCATAAGTGTAGAATTTTGAGAATAATTCCAAGAGAATTTTGATGAGACTTTCATGTGACTTTCTAAAAAAAAAAATCCAAGGCGATGGAATTCTGATAATAATTGTTTCAAGGGAATTCGTAAGATAATTCCATACCAATTCTAAAGTGAATTGCATTAAGATGATTGTAGGGAATATTCTAGGTTATTTCTAGAGGATATAAAAAGAATTACGGACAGCAATGCAAATTTCATTCCAATCGAGGCGGTTGAAGAAAGATGAAATTAGGTATATATTCAATTTGTGAGTAAAATCAATGCGTGGATAGGGGAGGTTGTAGAGTATTGTGTATTTAAAGGGTGTATTGTGTATTTAAATTTGATTAGTGCTTCAGTTTTACTTTGGAATAAATTGGAAAGGTGTCCTTTTTAAAGGACAATACAGATATGATTCTTAAAACTGCTTGTAATCCCTCCATATCTGCGGTGGGTGGTACCGTCCACTCACCGCTATTTCTCAGCTGTCCTTCAACCAATTACGCTGATTTTTTTATGTGATTAGTTTCAATCATAAACTAGTTATATACAGAAAAACAGCTCAAATGGTTGATTGAAAATTAGTTCTACCAACCGCATTTGTTAGACTTTTATTGTATTGTGATTATCCAAAAAAAACTCAAAACTCAGGCTTTGCCTGCGTGTTTGTCTTGCAAAATTCAACTGCACACCATGAGTTTTCTGGTTGTAAAATGATTTGCTGTTTATTTTAGTGTTATTAATTGTTATTAGTGTTGTTTTTGTATCAGTGCATGGAAAACTAATTAAATCTCGCGTAAAATTTTGTAATTAAAACTTGTAATTTCTCAAGCATTAGATTTGTTTGCCAGATTCGCATGCGAGTTTATTGAAGCTTAATGCTTAATGAAGGAAATTTGAGAATGATTTTCCGAACATACATTTTAGATTTACTTCAGATATTATTGTCATTTCTCAAACAAAACAAAGGAAATCTCGTTTAATTTACAGTAAACTAGAGAGTTGCTTCAGACTTCTGTTTTGAGAAAAACAGATATTGCGAGAGCCAGCATTTCTAAAATTTTAGTAATTGCCATGATATGTTTCAGTGCGTAGGTACGTAGTTCGGCCCATGTCATAGTAGAATACTGTACTTACGAAGAAAAAGGACATTTGTTCTTGATGAGATTCCGTGGTATCAGATACTCATTTACCATATGTAAGTATGGGTTTAGGGTAAGGTGGGACAAGATGGGTCACGGGGAAGGATGGGCCAGCTAGTGCATTTAGTCATTTATTTGTTTGTCAACCCCCATAATGCTTTGTATTTTCTACATTCAGAACAAAAAATAACTCAAGTAGCCCCGTGACCCATCTTGCATCACCTTACTCTATATTAAAAACCTACCTACATATGAGATCGCTTATGCCATATGTACGATTTCTTTTTCTAGGTATTTCAATTTTCACCTCACATTGGTGGCAGAGAATGAATTCTTTAAGCATGGCCATCCGATTCCTACCGTATGTCATAAGCAATAACATCATGAAGCCTTACGCGCTCTTGATTCTGTCACGTAAAAGTCGCTCCATGTGGGTTCATTCCTGAGTCTTCCTATACTCAGACAATAAACCAACCGAAGTTTCGCGTGGGGCTGGGAAATTCGGAGTAAAGAAAGCAATTTTCCGCCCATCATAAAAATTACACGAGATGATGTGAAATGTAGTCCACGAGCTCCGTGAAGGTCGCCTGGTAAACAGGTCAAGGAGATTTCGTCCTGATTTGCTTGAGCACATCTGCACAAGAAGAACCAACCACAAACGTTTTCTCAACTTAAAAAAAATCTCAGACCATTTTTTGACGACTGGTAGTATCTGTTTTCTTGGTGCGTTTCTTGTCAGCCCCCATGGAGCTCATCGTTGTTGTTTTATGGGTGTCTATAATTCCGAGCTTCCCCGCTGTTGGAAAACTGGGTCAGCGCTTTGGGCATTGTCGGCGAAATTCACACAATTCTGGCATTACTGATGTTACATTAATGAAAGTTTTCGTTTGGTAATAGAAAGATAATCCTTGTATTCAACAGCTCGACAGATGTAAACAGAAAAGTGAATACCAGTGAAACAGGAACAGTACAGTTGAATATTTTGCCTACATACCAATACAAAAATCAATATTCAGTGCCTGAGAAATAGCAGTGAAAAAGTGAGAAATCGAAGGAAAATATTTACTATAACCAGAAGAGTTAGTTTTATCCAGAGAAGATATTATAAAATTACACACCGAAACATCACCCATATCCTCACAAAAGCAAAGTGCGACAAAGAAGGAAATCTGAAACCATCCATTCGGAAGCCCACAACCGTAACCAATAGCCAACAATTGAAACTCAATTAGCCCACAGAAAGCACAGCATAAAACATTAAGAATCTGAAACAAAAGTTAAAATTACACAGAATGCGAAGCAGTAGCAGTAGTTCTGATTCAACTATCTCAGAGCATAAATCCATCAGCATGTATGCGCATTAGATGCCCTCGTCCGTTTGTTGTTCATTGCAAATTGAGTGTATTGGCGCGTGAGGTTAAATTTAGCACGCCTACAGCCGCCGCCTAAGACGACACGCATTGTAAGAGGTTATTGAGCAACAGTGTGGCCCTATCAAGTCGTTTATAATGGAGCAGAAGCATGGAGATAAGATGGTTGTAATGTAAATCGTGCACCGTCATCATCGAAGCAACGAAAGCGCACATACACTACCGACATAGAAGTTGTGCTCTGCTAGTTGTACAGCTTTTGAGGCAGGATATTTGCATACAGATTGCCCACTAAGGTGTGTGTTGTATGATGTTTGTTATTGTGCCGAGATCAGCTGAATTAGAGGCCTTGCAGCGTGGAGGCGAAAGGGAGTGAAAGTGGTACCTATCTATTTAAACCCTGACAACCAGCGCAATTTTTATCGCGAATCGCAGCACTATTTTCTATATTTAGACACGTTTGTACACAGCATAGAACAGCTTGATTGGGAGTAGACTGCTGCTGCTGCTGTAGCTGCAGGACGACGGGGGTGATACATAGTGTAAGCTGCATCTACGTGTTAAAGCTTCAGTTTGCTGCGCTTCAATGAATTCGATTCAGCAGTTGCTGCTGTTGGTGCAAACGACGACGTTGGTGGGAGGTGCAGGACTAGCATTTGGAGCAGTGTCCTTGAGAGCTACCCACGTGACTGGTGAAACTAAAGGAGGAACAGAGCGGAAGTAGACATTGTCAGGATGGAGCATATGGACCTGCCACGGGAACCGTCCAAAGAGGGGGAGGTAGTGGAGCAAATGAAAGGTAGATAATATTTTCGTTGCTTTGGTTTTGAACACGAACAGAATTATGGAATATCAAAAATAATTGAAATGCAGAATGATTATGAGAATATGAAATGTGGAACTAAACATAATTTGAAGCACAGTTAGGAGATAAACCATGTGTTTATGCAAATGCATAGTCAGAATTTTGAAGTCGTCGTTAATTTCAGGAAATTTTCAAAGACCTTACATATCTTATAATTACGGTAATGTAGGTAAATTCTACGCAGTTTTGTTGACGCTGCAACAGTACTTGTATTAATTAGCGAACGTATTGAAACCATGAATGAACGGAAATTTGAAACCCGAAGAACATTTTTCTAAAATCTTCCATCAGTCTAACCGGCTTTTCCCAAAAAAAAACAGGAACAACCCATCAGCGGAACCGAAGCGAATGTGATGAAGTGATCTGTGATAGAAGCAACGTTGTTACCAATAACGAATGTTTAGCAATGAATAATAGTACAGGAGAAGATGGTGGAGTTGGACCGGAAGTTAACGCATGTGACATTAGTCAACGACCGTCGTTGTACAACAATCAAGCTCTAACCTGCAGTCGGAGCAATGTGGCGATAACGCCCTTGTCGATATCCAACGGTGGTATAGAAAGCTGCTGCAGTTCAGTGCAGCGGCTCGATAACTGTGTCGACCCGGATGAAATTAGCAATTACCTAAGCATAAACAATAGTCGTAGCAGTAGCTGTTGTGATATTCCCGAGGAAACCTCGCCCATGATAAACGGTAGACGGAGAAGCAGAAATGGTGTCGAAGATGACTTGGAAGCAGGCGTGCATAAGCAAACGGTTAACCTACAGCGAGAACCGCGACGGCATGAATCGGATTCGTCCGTTTGCTGCGACATTGAAATCGATACAGGTGCTGAAGAGGACGAAGAAGAGGACGATTCGATGCTTACGTCGACCAATTCGGCCGCGACTACCGCTACCATAACGTCCAATAAGTCCCAACTGAACGTCCCGGATGTTCTGACTGGGCTGGACACTAGTGTTAATATTGTTGATAACCCTGTTAGTGATAGCAACGAAAATAGTGTTAGTCATGCGCATAGTGGTGGCATAGGTGGAGCGCCGCCGCATAGTAAAATAACAACGACGCCTTCGAACCTAAGCAATTGTAGTGGACTGCCAGCTGTGACCATGGTGCAGCTCAAGCAGAAGCAGAATCTCATCTACTTTCTGCGGGTGATCTTCAATCATTGCAAGGTTAATATCAATATCAATTTCAATTTATGCCACATGCTCTTGCTTTCACAAGCACTTACTGCAGCCAGTGTTGTGAAAAACCTGAAAGCCTCAAATCTCATGCATGAGTTTATTCAACAACGCAATAATCACCGATGAGATTTCCGGATGACAAATTCATTGCTTCATATTTTGGCATTTTTCATTGTTGTTAGTCTTATTTGCATTGCATTGTTCGATAGAAAGCTAATGAAACATACATGTGCATTGATGTTTGAGCGGTTTTTATGAGTTTTTCCTTGGAATGAATTGTTAGCGATATGAATGTGGGTGTGTAAAAATGCATGATAGTTCCAAGCGGAATTGTAGATTCGCACGTGAGTTTATTCTCTCAGATTTTTCGAACACTGATTGCAGCAGATAATATCCAATTAATCATTTTCCGTAAAACCAGCTATATTACTGTGCAGCAGCAATTTTTACATCAAAAGGGAGTGAAAGGCTTTCACCAGGAGGTCATTGGTTTGCCGTACCATAAATCATTCTGGTGCTGCTGCAACTACTGAGAACCAATTAGTCTAATTGTGTGCCTTTTTGCTACCAGTCAGTAGTCAGTTTTTTTTTTGGTCTCTGCCAGTAGTGGTATATCATTTGAACTTTTTGTCCTTTGGGGACACATTTTCCCCGTTTTGTTGTAAAGGCTGCTAGAACGATCTCGTAAGGTCACATCATGTACTATAAGGATAAAGCTAGCAGTCAGAAGATTGACATCGGTGGTTGAACACAGAGGATTGCTCAGACTTCGACCGAACAATCCATTTATGGCATTACTTGAAATAAGCGGATTAATTTTAAAATTTGTTTGATCTTGGATTGGGATTTTTAGTTGTAAGATTAGTTTCTTTGGAGAAAACAGGAGCAGCATGATTGGCTCGTACTCTAATAGTCTCTGGCCGAAAAATCTTCTATTCCAATATTATTATTTAATAATAAAAAAAATCGCTGACCTTGACATAGATTAAGCGCTTAACCCAATGCACATATTTGCTGGCCAGTTTTAATCACATTAGGGTAAATACCTGTGGGTGACCCAGCAGTTACACGTCCATATCGCAATCGCAAACTCCTAAAACATGGAAAGCAAGCTCTATAAACTTAGATTGAGCTTGTTTTTGTGCTTCCTTAAAATCCCTCGTTAGTTAACAGTTTAGCATGAATAACAATTTCAAAATGGTCGAATTTCTCATTTACACGATAAAGGCAACCTTCTACTTCATCAAACGGTGGGTGTTGTTTTGTTAAACTAGAACTAATTATGTGGGAAGCATTGCGTCTTGATTACTCAAACGGAACTAGAGTTGAAGCCTCAGATTGCCTAGTCAGATAAGGCAAGAACATCTAAGTCGGAGGTGATGGGTTCGATTCTCGTTCTGGTCTAGAAAATTTATCGGGTTGGACATATTCTCGGCTTCCCTGGTCATACAGTATCATTCCCAAGTAACAATGTTGGTTTTATGAGGGTTCTGTGGAGCATAATTTGGACTTGTAGAATGCTTTAAAACCTCGATAAAACTTGCAATGCTACTTGGTTTGTGCTTACAACACAATGTACAAACTCATGAACTGGTTGGCATCGAAAGCTCTTAATAATAACCGTGGAAATTCTTCAAAGAACACTAAAATCAGAGCAGGCATACGCTCGCATAAGAAGCGGAAAGCAGGAAGACGAAGAAGAGTTCAAAGTAAGGGCTGGCAAATATCATTTTCATTGCTCGAATATTTTCGTCAAAATTTCATCTGCTTCTTTGTCATCACAGATCGTGACTTTGTTGCGAAAAATAAATTGATACCACAATGTTGCTTGTTATAATTCATCTAAATCTGCTGGAAATTTTACTGTTAAAAATTGAAAATGTATTGTCATGAGAGCATTGTCATCGTTTGTCTTTCTTACATACAGCTTCTGTGAACAGTGCTGACTTTCTTCTAGTGTGCGTTTATTAGGCTGCATTCATTGCTCACTTAAACGTTGAGAAATTCTATTGAAATACTTAATTATATTATTAGATCCGTCTGATGATGAGGCTTTGAGGGAATAGACCGTCATAATATTCGACAAGGTATTGTTTATTTAAAGCAACTTGCCAATTTTGTATCTCTAATGGTTCATGTTTTATATCAAGTTTAAATAAGTACCTTAGGGTGAACTTTTTCTGCATTAATTTATCGTAAATGATGTATTCTAGACCCATTTAGAACTTTTGATTACGCATCTATTTGGTCAAGTAACCTATTTGGTATCTCTTTTGCCTATAACCGATTTGTATGTATTTCACACTATTACGCCTTAATTTCACCAACACAATATGCATTGAAACATCAATTTCGATTGCTGCAGGAAGTGTTTTCTCGTTGTTCCCCCAACTGAAAATATTAACAATTGAAAATGACTTTATTTTTGGAGATAGTTTACAGTTACTTTTTTTTTATTAACGAATTAAACGAGGCCTTCCTGCAGCAAATATGCAGTTTAATAAGTAGAAAAAAAGTTGCAGAAGACAACTTTCACGTACAAATGGAAATAAATGAGTTATTCTATAAAACACAATTTTTTAGAGCACCCTATGCTATAAAAAAATAATCATAACCTTTTCCACTATACAGTCAGGAATCCTTATTGCCGGGGTAACGGGGGCGTGAATAAATAACCGCAAATAAGGACACCCACAACTTATGGGATTTTCACTAATGGAGGCTGTGGTGGATTATCTAATTTATTTCAATATATAAAGCTATACTGTCTTCAACAAAGTTTTTGTACTGAGATAGACCAACAAGCCTGTGTCATTGGATTCAGGTTTAATTGGGAACTACGCCTACGCGCTAGAGGCGCTTCACTTTTATGTTACTTATGACGGGTGCTATAATATATGGATCTTAGATCCAACATAGAATATTTCATGATCCTGGCCATGTAGAAATTTACTGTCTTCAGCAAAGTTGTTCAAGTGACCAAGTCCTTTCGGATGGTGAAATTCAATTTTCCAATAATTGGAAATTGTACCACTAAATCACATGAACGTTATGCGCCCAATGAAATCTATATATATACTAGAAACTAAATGAAAACTTTTTTCAGTGTATGCTATGTACTTCAAACATGTATTTGAAAATGCATCATTCAAAAATACCGTAACGCATCGTAAAGACAGCACTTTCCATACGAACAGAACAGAAAAAAATGAATCTATGACAAAAGATCCAAAGGACAAAAAATCGGAAGGCAATAGGTCGAAAGGACAAAAGGTCAAAATCCAATTTTGAAGAATGAGCATCTTTTTAAGGATGGTAAATGCAGGTTTCGTGATTGTAAACATTTTATATTAATTTTACTGTAATGAAGGAGATTGAGACTTTTCGCCGAATTGGTCGTTTCACCGAAGGATGCTTCTCCGTTGAATGTCCATATGGAGATCGCATAATCACAATCTAAACTTTTTTACCCTTGACCAAAGTATATGTGCAAATCACTTTATCTTAGCGAATTCAGTCGAGATAAATCGAAAGGATTGGACAAATGTACCAAAGAATTCAGAAAGAAACACGTGCTGAAGCGTTTGAGCCAGGGTTTGAGCATGAGCTTATTTGGCAGTATTTGATGATCAATTAACCGAATTGTTGTAAAATTGTTGTCTTTTTGTGAACATGCCTTTTTGCAAAACAATCGTTTGCCTTACAGCTTTGCTGAACACAACATTTACATTAATCATTTAAAAAAAATAAAAATAGTTGCATTTAATTCTACTCATGTTTAACCTTAATCAATGAACGAATTTTCCAATACTTAAGTTTTCGTTTCAAAGATAGTGTTTCCATAAATATGGCATTGTTATTTATGAAGAATATTGTTTTATCTACTTAGGTGTCATCTGTTCAATCTCGCACAACTCATGTATCCAATGAAACAGTTTCTTCAGTTTTCGATGAGCAATCTACCCTACATGACAAACCACAAGGCCACAAAAAAGAAAGAAAATATCCGATTGTCTAAAAATACTCAAAATGCCCGTTGCATAGCGTTAACTCAAAGAGAACCTTTACCACTCTTGTTAAAATCGGCACTATCCTCAGCTATCAAGAACAGGAATTCTGTAATAGCTAAAATAAACAAGCATATTGTAAATGGCGGAGAAAAATGGGCACAGGATATCTTGAGGAAATTGCACAGTTTTAAGAAAACTGCTGTTGCGTCTATTGAAAAATGCCTCATGCTTAAGACGTCAATGGGGCTGAGTCGTAGCCAAGTATGAGGGATTTGGAAGGTTCGCTACGGACCACCTTGGATTTAGATTGTTACAGCCTTGGAGAAAAGTATCTCAGTACTGTGATACCATCATTCCAGATTTCTCTGCACCTAATTGGGATCAAGGTTGCTTGTCATCAAAGTGTACGGTTAGAGATTTGGTTACGTGTGATATGTATCGAATCAGCGAACTGGATGACGTTTCTATGAAAATTACATCGTTCAATCGTAAAGATTTAAAATGTATGCTATTCGCAACGCCAGGCCCCGATTCTGCGAACGAATTCAGTCATTATAATATGGCTAAAGTATTGAGTAACGATGGTTCCTTATTATCCGAGCACTATATGAGTCTTTTATTGCAAACCGATGAAGGAGAAGTTATTTGGAAGAATCCAAATCTTCAGGCAAGTTCATTCTGCCGGATAAGATCAATGAGCTGGGTAGGGGAGACTGAAAGAATCACCAAGCAGTTCTTTGACATTTTTTTTCGCAGAAGTAGAGGCAATTAATAGCAACCCGGTTACAGTTGTTGTTGGAGAAGTCACGCTGCATATGACAGTATCATCCCTTTACACCATGATAGATGGTAAGGTAGCAAACGCGATTGTTGGAAACCGTGATACTCATGCTCGTCCACTTTGTGTCACGGGTTCTGATAATCGCATTGGTCCATCGTACTTTCATTCTCGATTGAACTGTGTTGAGTGGTCAATAAGAATGGTTGCCAAAAAATCAGTAAAGTGTAATCTAGCTCTCCCCTAATAAAAAATAACCATAAACGAACGATAACCCAAATCATTGAACTATTCCACAAATGGTTTGGATGATACCCAGAACACGTCGTTAAGCAAATTAACCATACAATTTTTATTAGGGTCCCGCATCCACTTGTGAAAGCAAAAGCTCGAGAAATGGCAGATGAACTGGAAAATCACTTTGGGTCAAAATGTTTATTTTCTCATAATTTTCATTCCACTGGTCCACTGTGAAATGTAATGGAGCTTAAAATGTAACTTATGAATACGGAAATATGGAAGTACGAACGTCCGAAATATGAAAGACTTGGAAAGCAACATTACAATACTATCCAAACCTCCTTTTCGTTACCTGATACATTTTGTACTCATTTTTTTTATAATTATTTTTCTTATTCTTGGTCTTCTTCATAGATGGCTGTTGGATTTTTTTTACTATCGGGTACGGGGCGAAGCGTCTCAGATTTTTATGAGATTTTGCCGGCAGGTAGAGATTATAATACAGTGGCGTCGCGTCCACATGTGCAACCTGTGCACGACACAGGTTTAAATAATTAAAAAAATGCGTTTAGATTTTTATAGATTTTATGGTCACCTTATAGCTGTACTTCTTTACTCCAGACCACAAGTGACCATGAATACACTATTTTATAGTGTGGTTCAATTAAATCTTCGACCTTGGTTTGCTTCAAAAAGGATTAAATTCAGTTCGGATGGTCTGCCTAATTCCTAATGCATTAATTTCTAAGCATGTCGATAACACTACCATGACAAAATTCGTTAAATAGTGCTCCTAAAAGCGATCTTTTTTGGGTGGCAAGTTTGTGAATGGTCAAATGCCTGTTGTAAGCCAAGTAGACCTTCTATCACCTCTTGAAACAAGTTTTCCACAATACATGGCGGTTTGCACCACTAGTTGTAATTGAAGCTTTCAGCAGTCACGCGTCAAACGGGAGCAACACGGAAACAGCAGTCTGGTACGCTTTGGACGTTATCATACTTGCAGACCGGTTTGAATGTGTGAGTTTAAATTAGAATAACTTTTGTGATGTATGGGTGCCCAAAGCGTGCATTTCACGTTGTGCACTTGGATATCTGATTGCAGACAAAGAGAGTAATGGAGAAAGAGAGTGCTCTCTCTCTCTCTCTATTACCGATAGTTGCGCCGGTGCGCCTGTCAACACTTATGAGTTTCCCCTGGTTCATTCCGATAGTGTTGTTCTGATGAATAAAGAGTTAATTAATTCAAGTTTCCTACCCAGGGACCATACATTTTCTCTAGATTTTGACACTGTTTTGTATCAACAAATGTTTTCGGAAGTGTTTGACGGATATTCTTTATTACACTTCAGTCGAAAGAGTTTGTCTTTTGATAAAACGAGAATTTAAGTTGAACATTGCATTAGGTCCTAAGTAACACTGACAGATTCTCTCCGTCGACCTTCTCTTTGTATCTCCACAGCCATGTAAAGACATTCCGAGGTATGTTCAGCACACTGATCGATAAAAGAAGCTTTTTTCTAGCATCTAATATGACAAACACAACAAGAAATGGTTATGTGCTCAAGTTATTAACGAAATAGAAAGTCGACAAAGAGAATCGATCAATATTACTTAGGACCTAATGCAATGTTCAGCTTGAATTAGTTAAGCTTTGCAATTCCTCCTACTTCGGTTAGCGCGAAAAGGACCATATAAGTTTTGTTTACACAAGATGATAGGCCCTTCAAATGTTACGTTAGGTAGTGATTAATATAGTAATTGAGAATATGTCCCTCAAATTCATGGAGCATTGAAAAATAAAACAAAAACTAATATGTGGTGTTAAACTATAACGAACAAAGTTTGGTGCACAGGTAAACAAATGAGGCACGCGACGCCTCTATTATAAAGGGTGATACGGTCAAAATTTGGTCAAGGGAAAACGCGTGTAAATCGGTGAAATCGTTTATTTAAAAAATCAAATTAAATTTCTTTTTCAAGTTCAATTAGTATAAAATTCAGGAAAAATATTCAGTTAGGCTTCGGCTTTTCCAAATCCGAATTGCCGGGCCTTACGCTTGACCCCTGCCATCAGATTTTGTACAGCCACCTTGTCCACCTTCTTCGCCGCAGAAAGCCAGTTTGCCTTGAACTGCTGCTCGCCCTTAGCAGTTTTTTTTTGGTCTTTTTTAGGTTCCGCTTGACAATAGCCCTGTATTTCTCAATTGGGCGGAGCTCTGGCGTGTTGGGAGGGTTCTTGTCCTTGGGAACCACCTGCACGTTGTTGGCGGCGTACCACTCCATGGCCTTTTTACCGTAATGGCAAGATGCCAAATCCGGCCAAAATAGTACGGAACAACCGTGTTTCTTCAGGAAAAGCAGCAGACGTTTATTCAAACACTCTTTCACGTTAATTTCTTGGTTGACAGTCCCGGAAGCTATGAAAATGCTGCTTTTCAAGCCACAGGTACAGATGGCTTGCCAAACCAGATATTTCTTTGCGAACTTTGACAGTTTCATGTGCTTGAAAACATCTGCTACCTTTCCCCTTCCTTTTGCCGTATAAAACTCCTGTCCCGGAAGCTGCTTGTAGTCGGCTTTGACGTAGGTTTCGTCGTCCATTACCACGCAGTCAAACTTCGTCAGCATCGTCGTGTACAGCCTCCGGGATCGCGCTTTGGCCGTCGTATTTTGTTTATCATCGCGATTTGGAGTCACTACCTTCTTGTAAGTCGATAGTCCGGCTCTTTTTTTGGCTCGATTCACGGTTGTAGACGATACACCCAGCTTATTTGCGGCATCTCGGAGAGAGAGGTTAGGGTTTCGCTTGAAACTACCGGCAACTCTCTTTGTCGTCTCAGCGGCTTCCGGTTTTCGATTTCCCCCCGATCCAGACTTCCTGGCTGTCGACAAACGTTCCCCAAACACTTTAATTACATTTGTAACGGTTGATTTGGCAACTTTTAGCGATTTTGCCAACTTTGCGTGCGAGTAGCTCGGATTTTCGCGATGCGCGAGCAAAATTTTGATACGCTGCTCTTCTTGCTTGGATGGCATTTTGACAACTGAAGAGTGAATTCCAAAATCAAAATAGGAGCAACATTCTACACACACACACCTTCAAAATGAGGGGTGTTCAGGTTTTTTAAATGCAAAATTTGATATTGACCAAATTTTGACCATATCACCCTTTATGAATGGAAATTTATAAAAAATTCGGGGTGGTAAATTTTAGTTGAAATTTTTAGATTTTCCCGAACATCACGTGAACATTCATAACTCATCATTTAATAATAGCATGCATATAAGTAAATTATTTCAGCAATGCACAAGAAATATAAACTGAAAAAATGTTTCAACGAAATTTTTTACGGTAGAGGAAAATCGAATGGAAAGTCAGGGAAATCTATTTTCAAGGTAATGATTTTTCTCATGCTTAAATACTTTTTATCTTTCACTGGTGAAAGTTTCAGAGTGCTTACCGGTTTTGCTGAGCTATGACCAACAAACTAATTAACAGTCATAGGATAAAATTTACATGATTTTTTCAAACAGTAAGATGGGGCAAGATGGGTTTAAATTTAATAATTTAAATGATTAAATCTGTTTTACAACGTCAACAGGAGCCATGAAGCCCCAATGCAGATTTGAAAAGAAAACAATCATTAGTGTTGTAATGAATCTGTTGATTTTGACAAACACATACATTAATAAACTAGCTGACTCATCTTGCCCTACGTTACCCTACTTGGGTTTTTTTCAGAGAACATATAATTAAACGTTTTAGAGTTCCTTTAAGGGATATTGATAAAGTCCCGAAAATGTTTCAGAGGTAAATTAATTGAACTTCCTCGGAAGTTATAAGAATTTAACTAAAACATCCTTAGAGAAATCGACAGACCGTCCTTAGCCATGTTGAAGTATTTTAAACGAAGTTCGGACAACTTCAAGCGTTTTAAATTCCACCTATAAAGATGACATGTTTGGTCCGTTTTTTTTATTCAGGTGCTAAATGATCATAAGATAAGCATTTAATTACTTTGGCTCACTTTGCTGGCGATGCTTAAACTAGTTTTTAATCCATCATTTATATTCCATATCACAAACATGTTCTAATTTTCTTTCCATTTTTTCCCACAGAGTTCCGGTATCGGTGAGCCTAGCGTGTATCATGCCTTAGTTGTGATATTTTTGGAATTCTTCGCGTGGGGTCTGCTCACGATGCCCGTGATAAATGTAAGTACCGTTTGTAGTTATGGAGACAATTCAAGAATTACGAAAGCTGTTTTTTTTTGGGATTTTTCAACAAAGGCCTTCCCATCCCCAAAGTAAGGCTTAGTGTCATATAAGACGAGATACCCCTTCCCCTATTAGAATTTTTTTTTAAAATTGATTATTGATTCTAAACTTGTTCAGGCTTAGTTCTGTTAACTTCATTAAACGACACAAAATAAATTTTTCTTCCCCCCCCCCCATTTTTAAATGTCGCCATAGTATACACACACACGTGACAAAACAAATCGCCAATGCACGTCTCTACACTCGTGTGTAGAAGTCAATCCCTGGGGAAACCTTTCACGCAATCGACTATGCTTATCTACCCTCTGGAAGTCCAGTAGTGGGCAAAAATAGAAATTGCAGTTTGCCGAATCTTCGCATAGTATAACCCACCCACTCGGTGTTAAAATATAACACTCATGTAATCGATGTTTGTTTTTGTATCTTCCTGTTTCGTTCCATCAACCCTACGTCTGCGCTCGTTTTGGAACACAGGTACTGAATCAGACCTTCCCCGCTCACACATTCCTGATGAACGGTCTGGTCATGGGCATCAAGGGCATCCTATCGTTTCTAAGCGCCCCGCTCATCGGTGCACTGTCTGATGTGTGGGGCCGAAAGTTTTTCCTACTGATAACAGTGTTCTTCACCTGCGCCCCCATACCGCTGATGTCAATCAACTCGTGGTAGGTGTCAACGTGACATGCTATACTATTATGCCATTCTGGAGGTTATGTTAATTTTTTGCTTTGTTTTAGGTGGTTCTTCGCAATGATCTCAATCAGTGGAGTGTTCGCTGTAACCTTCTCGGTGGTGTTCGCCTACGTGGCCGACGTAACGACCGTGGAGGACCGTTCCCGGGCGTACGGTCTGGTGTCGGCCACATTTGCTGCTAGCTTGGTGACTGTTGCCAAATATAAACAAAATATTCAATTGATTTCTAACATTTGTTTTTTGTTTTGTTTTTAGGTCATTTCACCTGCCCTCGGCGCCTATCTGAATGACAAATATTCAGAACCTCTTATAGTAGCTTTAGCGACAGCGATCGCAGTCCTAGATGTATTTTTTATCCTAGTGGCAGTGCCGGAAAGCTTACCGGAAAAGGTGCGGCCCAGTTCGTGGGGTGCACCGATTAGTTGGGAACAGGCCGATCCCTTTGCCGTAAGTCCTACTCCGTAAAATCTGCTAACTTATTGACCCATTTATCCAATAAAACTAACAGGCATTACGGAAGGTCGGTTTGGACCAGACCATTCTAATGCAGTGCGTGACAGTATTACTATCCTACTTGCCAGAAGCCGGACAATATTCGTGTATCTTCGTCTACCTAAAGCTGAAGATGCACTTCAGCTCGGTAGATGTGTCCATCTTCATTGCCGTCGTTGGTATACTGAGCATACTGGCGCAGGTTATTCTAGGTGATCTAATGAAGTAAGTGTGTAGCCACGTGTTGTCTTTTCGTCAACTCTCAATATTGGTTCTTCTCCTCGCAGGGTACTTGGTGCTAAGCGTACTATAATAATAGGATTACTATTTGAAATGCTACAGCTGCTGTGGTATGGTTTTGGCAGTCAAACTTGGTAAGTAGAGCCGGATTAGAATTATCGTGACCTTGAACACGGGTTTCTCTATCGCCAAATTTGTTTTCCTCCATCTACAGGATGATGTGGGCTGCCGGAATCCTAGCGTCACTTGCGTCAATTACTTATCCAGCCATTAGCGCATTCGTCTCGATACACTCAAATCCAGATCAACAAGGTAATAAAACCGTGTGATATAATCGTTTTCGTGATTCTCTAATGCTTTTCCAACGTGCTTTCAGGCGTTGTTCAGGGCATGGTGACGGGAATGCGTGGCCTGTGTAATGGGCTTGGGCCGGCCATGTTCGGTGTCATCTTCTACGTTTTCCACGTAGATCTGAACGATGAGCACAATGCAGTGGCCAGTTTGAACTCGGCGGTCGGTGGCAGTGCCATTGGAGTCGGCAGTGGCAGCGCCCTAGGCAGTTTAGATGGTAGTAAATTCGTACGGAACGAAACACTGCACGGTTTGGGTGGCAGTCATCACATCATTGAGGATGAGTACTCACAACTGATGCCCGGTCCACCGTTTGTGTTCGGTGCACTGATGGTGATCTGTGCAATTGCCGTGGCAGCATTTATCCCGGAAGCGCCCAGCGATAGCATCCGGCGACCTTCGGGTGAGAAAAAAAGTAGTTATTCCAGTTTTTTACTCCTTTTTTGGGCTATTATTTTTTGTTCGCTTTTGGTGTGTGCCATCATTTATTTGGGGTCATTTTGCGTGTATTTGTAAGTTAACAACCACTACCTTCTCCGATGCATTCATTCTAACCAAACTGACACGGATTAAAGTCATGGGAACAATAACGTTGTAAACGAATTTTATTTAGATTTTTTTTTGTTTCTCCAATTTTCCTTTATTTGCAGAATCGGACTATAGGAGCCAAGATAAATTTTCAGTGCTTATTGGCGATTGATTGAGTCAAAGCGTAAGAGTTCGTTTTTAAATCCATTGTTTTTTTCATATGCAATAAGTTGCTCCGCCTCACACTTATATTGTATTTTGTTTGGGTTTTGTTTGTTTGCTTCTAGTATGACACACTAGCCAAGCAACATTTTTCACTAGTCAGAGCTATTTTTATATAAAAACATTAATCTCATGTTTTCCTGAAACACTGTGACACTCCACGTTTGAAGGAACTGCCGAAAGTTGTGGACCTGCGAAGGAGTGAATGTAATTATTTTGATCTTGTGTTGTTTACAGACACTTTCAATATTTTTCCTAGTTTTTCTCAGCTACTAGAATAGTTGTTTTTTTTCCTCCTATCTACCTACATATCTATTGTTCATTTTGTTATTGAGTTAGATAGTAGTTCCAGTTTGCTTTTTTCTATCGCTCACGATTATTTTTAATAGAACAAACAATCTTACCCACCATGTGTACCATAAGAAAGAGGAACTACTATCCTATCCAAAAAGATGAAACCTGTTTAAAATTACCGGAGATAGCAACAAAAATAGTGAAAATGTGATTTTAGTTTGGTGCTTGAAGTGTTAACAGCAACTTACATCGACGCCGACTTCTTATGAATCACTTTTCTGCACTCCAAAAATCTTTGCGTTAATGATACGTGAAGCATCACAAGTCATTTTTTAGCTGACGAAGCATATTTTTTTTAAACTGAATAAGCTCTTATGCAGTTTTAGGGCCGATTTCGTCAACCTTAAACTTTTGATCGGGTTTAAGTTAAGCGCAGGTGAAGAAATCAACCCCTCCTGTAACCACTGTTATGTATTTCCATCCATCAGGGTAGAGTTCAAGTATAGATACAGAGGGGTGTGCTTGGGATATTTTCACGAAACATTAAAAGTCATTCCGGAAGATCGCTTATGTTTAACGTTACCCAGTAACGCGCTTCTCAATCTATGGGTTGCGACCCACTTGTGGATCACGGGTTGCCTTCATGGTTTTAAAGTTCGTGCAAAGTTTATCGTAATTATAAATTATGCTGGAATAATCCATATAAGTAAAAATCTTAGCCTTTACTCTTTTTCCATTACTTTTTTTCAAATTATTAAAAGTTTGCTAATACTTGAACAATTTTTTAACGAAATTGATAGAAGCATTCAGACTTTCGAAAACATCATACCAGAATATTTATTTTCTTAAATATTTTCCCGTTTCAAAATTGCCAATTTGTTATTATTATTAATGAGTTATTTGGGCGTTTTTAATGTTAAGCGTGTTCAGAGCTGTATTATCATTTAATGGAGGTTTGCAGGTCATTTTTCATATCTTAAGGCCATTTTGGCTTTTTAAAACCAGTTTGGAAAGGCTGAATATAGAACCAGTAACGCTGGTAGATCTTCTTTTCGTTGTGCGTTACTGGTAGAAGATCTACCTCCAAACCCTAGTCCTGACAACTTCAAACTAGGGGAACAGGATTTTTCAGTAATCAAAGGAAATTATTTTAGTCCTTTATACTTTTTATGCCTTGTTAATAGTGACAAGACTCCGAGAAGTAGTCACAATGCCTGTTGAATTGTGAAGTTAAAGCGATACTGTTCGTAAGGTGTGCACCCGAGTGCAAGAACATAGTTGCAGGGCTGGTAGCAGGTCACTTTTTAGTGACTTGGTCACTATTTTCAAGTCAGTCACTAAAAAGTCATTTTTCATCAAAAAGTCACTAAAGTCACTATTCTTTAAAATTTAGTCACTAAAGTCACTTTTTTACGACCAATGTTGAGAGTAAATAATTTGACTTTAAAGACTCAGAGTAAAGTCTGACAAGAAGAGTTGCGAACATATGGAAACGTTTACTGTTCACGAAATCTAATATTTTATTTTATTTTATCTTGAAATTGTTATTGTTGTTGTTGTTGAGATTGCTAAAAAAAGTTTTAGATCCAATATTCTGGCTGTTTTACATTGAGATCTTGAAAGTTATCCAAGCCTACACTGCAACTAAAAGTTACTTAAAATTCACCTGAATAGACATGTTCATATTTTCCATCATACTTTTCAGGTGAATATTACGTGTTACATTTGAGTGATTCACATAGAAATCAATTGATTTTCACAAAAAAAAATTATCTTACTGGATTTTGTAGTAATGATAAACTATAGATTTATATTTCGATTTAATTGAGTCATTAAATGATTGTATTCTAGAAAAATTGAAATTCACTCTTATTCTGCAATTTTATTTTTAATTTATAAATGAGTGTTAATTTATAAAAATTATAAAACTTACGCTTGAAAACATAAAGGAGCGCACTTTCTTCCATCGTCATTTTTGAATTACGAATACGACGAGAAAATTGAACCATGAAATCACGAAATACTTAACCTTCACCAGCATGACATGTGGACTGGATCAGTGAATCCAGTGGAATTCATTACCATGTCATTGAATTCCTATTTTGAAGAGGTTATCTGAATGTTCAGGTAAAAAAAAACTTTCTCTTTGGTTCAATGTATAATGTCAAAAAATTATCTAGAAAAAAATTGCAAGCTCTCAACATGTGTTCAAAGGCCAGAAATTTGAATAATCTTTGACCTCCGGTAGCTTTAGTATCCGTCCAAACATGCAGAGAAAAATAATCATGTCACAGATCTTTGAGTTCCTTTTTAAGTCCATTAAAATCTATTGTATTTTTCTCCATATTAATATTTCGGTAATACAAAAACAGAAATTCCAAGTTCAGGTTTTAGAAAAAAAAAATTAAAACTCTAAAGTGTATTCCTAAATGTGTAATTTTTCTTGATCGAGATTTTAAGTCCTAATTAAATTTTGTTTTATGTCCGTGATCATTCCATCTGGGAAAATTTTCCTCATGCCATAATAATGAGATTTTTTCTTAAACTGCGATCGGGAAAAGTTGTCCCAGAGTTATGATTCTTCTTCTATGTTACAGAAGATTCTATTCTTGGGACGAATGGAGCAAAGTAAACAGACTTATAACGTTATAGCGACTACAAAGAAGAGAAGGATCTTTTATTAATATACTCATGGCTAACTTATATCTATGTACATTTAATTCTAGACTGCAGTTCTTCATGTTTCTAAATGCATCGCTTCAAATAGGTATATTCTATATCTTCAAAAATTGATGTCTAAAATCGGTACTTTGAACATTTTTCTTTGTGTCTCTATTTCGCGATAAAAAAATTCGTGATCTGCAGAGTGAAGAAATGGAGCTTAGAATTGAAACGTGCTCTTGCTTATTCAATTCATACTTATGTTTCAATAACAAATTTATCATTTGTTTTATTTTAAAAAGCATGCGAAATACCGGAATAACGGAACCATAGCTTTCCGATCAATAAATGTCACTTTTGGTCACTTTATTATTGTTTAAAAGTTACTATTTGGTCACTATTTTCGTAGTTTTAGGCACTTAAGTCACTACTATTACATCACATACCCACTACCAGCCCTGTAGTTGAGTCAAAGACATTACGATTCATCCCAGGCTACTATTGTAGAAAATCGTAACTTATAGATACTGACTGGAACGTTTCGGAATGTTTAGAAAAAAAAAAATAAGGCGCGCGTTAGATCCAGTTTGGGATACATTATTGATTGCTTAATTCCATTTGAATAGCTTGTTTTATTAGCCTGACCAATGCACAGTGGTCCAGAATGCAGATTTAGCTGGAATGATATGTTTTGAGCCTGAAATTGAAACTTTAGACTAAAAGTCTCTTCTACAAAGTTGTTCCTTATAGTTAGGCCCTCATTTTTATGACAATGAATTCTAGGGTGGTTCCTATTATCATTAAAATCAAAAATCTAACTTTTTTGTTTGAATAAATTAAGCTATATATTCTTCGGCAAAGTTATAGCTGAGCTAATTTCAAGCAACTTTGTTGAAAATAACTTTTTTGTATCTCTTAAATTGGCCGATTTAGAGCTATTTTCTTGAATTGAGTTAGGGTGGCTCTTAAAAAAACAGTTTTTTTTTGCTCTATTTTTCTTATTTCGAATTTCTCAGCAAATGTGTCTTCAGATAACTTTTAGATATTAAAAAGGCGCAAATTTTTGCTGCACAAAGCTTGTCAATATCTTTCGTCGATCAAGAGTTATTGACGTTTTTATACTAAAAATATGCACTTTTCAAATGTTAATATCTCTGGTTGGGGCAAACAAAAAAAAAGTTTATTGGCAGCATTTGAAAGAGCGTATGTTATTCTCAATAATATGAAAAAAATGGAGGTATGTTATTTTTTAAACTCGTATAAAATCAATTTGAATTAATTCATATTTTTTACTATATTTGAGTATATCTTTTTTATTAGAAGAGATACAGGCAACAAATTCAGCAATAAAACATTCGTCTTAAAGAGTTTTAAAAGTCTCTAGAAGATGACTTTCATGATAAATTTCAAATAAAAAAGTTATTGGCAAAAGATGGATTTCATAGGACCACTCTAATGACAAATTTATATAAAATGAGATAGTACATTTGTTTCAATATTTGGACATTAAGTGTCTTCGAAGAAGTTTTTGTTCTTAAAAATTCCCTTCTTTTGGTGTTTGCAGACGTCAGGGTGGCCCTCAAATTAGGGAATTTTTAAAACTAACTTTTTTGTTTTACAAAATATAAACATGTGTTGTTCAAAAAAGTTGTAGTTAAGTTACTTGCAAGCAACTTTGTCGAAGAAATTTTTTTTCTATCTCTTAACGTT